GAATAAATTTTGTATACGTTTTGTTTACGTTTGTGTACGTTTCAAATACTTTTACCCCAAAAGTGTTAACACTCGAAATTTTTTTGATTTTTGTTTCTAGGAGGTCAACCGATCATTTTAAGCCCAAAATTACAATAGGTCATAGGTCATCTTCGAGAAAATTTGATTTAAAAATAATTACCCTATAGGGTAAATTTTGATTTATTTTATTGGGGTGACTCAAATTAATTAAAATAGGTAACTAAAATTTAACGCCATTTTAGTTACGAATTTAATTGGGGCAAGAGCGAGCTTGCGAGCGATTGCTTAATTAAATGATCATTCGAGTTGCATACTATACTTTTTCTATGAAATACTTAATATTATCTAAAAAATTATTTAAATTAAATATTTGATTAAAGCGACGTCAATATGAAAATAAAGTAACCATCCCAATAAACATTTTTGACGTAATCTTCACCATTAACATTGACCGTTATTATTTTAATTATACTTAACAATTATTGATACTTTAAAATAAGATTAAGTTAAGAATATATTTTATCCTTTGATTTTTTATTACTATAATTAAACAATATTATCAAAAAGTATTAAAAATTCTTACACGAAAAATATATGTGTTAAATATGTTAAATAAACTGCTCGTCATAAAAATCGACGCACCTAGTTTTTTGGAAAATATTTGAAAGCTCGTTATTGGAAAATTACTGAATCGATTTTGAAAATCTTTGGAAATCCTAAATAGCTGATTCTTTGACTCTTATGTCTAACTTTGGGAATACGATATTTTGCACATAGCATTATACTACAGGGTGTTAAACGAAGACATGTATTTTTTCCGAAATTTCAAGTTATTCCCATTCATGAGGCAGTTGAGTTTGATAGTCGTAATACCTCTCCCTAATTTAAGTAAGGTAATCCCTCGGAACGTTTTCGAGATTTTGTGAATATCGAGGCTTACTACGATTATATGCCAATTTTTCGAAAATTGTCTTTATTTCCCAGTTTAGTCTAAAAAATATAGCAATAGTGGATTCTTTGACTTCCATCTAATTTTGAGAATAAGATATTGTGCACATAGCATTATACTACAGGGTGTTAAGAAAAGAGATGTTTTTTTCCAAAATTCCAAATCCCCATTCACAGGGCAGTTGAGCTTGATAGTCCTAATACCCCTTCCTAATAACAGTTAGGTAATCCCTCGGGACGTTTTCGAGATTTTGTGGATATCTTGGCTAACTACGATTATATCACAATTTTTCGAAAATTGTCGTTATTCCCCAGTTGTCCAAAAGTTGAGTAATAGTGGATTCTTTGACTAACGTCTAATTTTGGGAATACGATATTGTGCACATAGCATTATAATACAGGGTGTTAAAAAAAGAGATGTTTTTTCCAATATTCCAAATCACCATTCACAGGGCAGTTGATCTTGATAGTCATAATACCCCTTCCTAATAACAGGTAATCCCTCGGGACATTTTCGAGATTTGGTGGATATCTTGGATTATAGGGCAATTTTTCGAAAATTCACGTTATTCTTCACTTAAGTCCCAAAAATGAGCAAACTACAGAAAATATTAACACAGCATAGGTAGGTCACGTGCTTTCAGTTTATGTACGTTGCGTGAATCATTAAAAGTGAAATGTTTCACACAAAAGCAATTTTTTTCGGTGGAATTCAAAATAAAAACGCAAACCAAACAAAATTATTTTCGTAAACTTATGCAGGCTATATTCATGCAATTTTCTACAAACGGTTGACTATGAAAGTTTAAAAAATATGGCGCATACTTGGTTTTGAGATTCCTCCCTTCAATTGTTCTTGTTATTTTTGTCATCGAATATGAAAACATTTTTCAAACAGCAAAGCACATTTAAAAAAATAAAATGACGGATTTAAGGTTGCATACCACGCAAGACGAAGAGCTGCCTGCCCTCTTTTTCTGCTAGAAGAAGATGGGCACAAGAACATGCAAATTGTGGATACGATGTGTTGATAACTAATCGATATATCGATCGAGGTATACCTTTAGTAGTTTGCATATTTTTGGGAATTAAGTGGAGAATAACGACAATTTTCGAAAAATTGCTATACAATAATCTTAGTTAGCCGAGATATCCACAAAATCTCGAAAACATCCCGAGGGATTACCTCAGTGGCGGCTCGTCAGGGTAGGCCTCTGAGGCCGCGCCTCACCCTTAAAATGAAGGAACGAACGACTTTTTGTATTTATATTTTTGCCTATTACAAGTGTATTTTTACAACAGTTCTACCCAATAAAAAGTAAAAAACCAATCAATCATATTAAGCGTAAATAAAAATCCAGGCGCAAAGCGCGTCAAGTTAACGTGCATCGTTGAGCGATCGCTTGGACAGAGGCGAAATTTTCACAGCCTCGGAAGCTCTCATTTACCTCTTGAAAGCGAAAATGAGTCATCAACAAAAATATCGCCGTAAGTTCGCGAATAAACACCGTAGATGAGGCGAAATTTAGTTAGCTTGGTTTGTTCTGATTGGTGGTCCGTTTATGAAAGAAGGTTGCCAGTCTTCTCTTAGCGTTTGTAGAGCACGTTATTGTTTTGATTCAGATTAAATTATTTAAAACTTTTGGCTGATCTTTTATAGTTTTTGTCTCGATTAGTAAAATTTCTTATTTAATTATTGTAGGGAACACACTAAGGTAGATTTAGCAGTTTTTATATTTTAAAATAATAGATTGCATAATTCTTCAATTAGAGACGCGGTTTGAAAATTTAGAATTACTTTTAAATCTCACTGCAGACCCACAATTTTACGACCAAATAATAGATAAATTTTCAATCTTAAAAGATAGACGTATAGTATTTTATATTTTTTAATACTTAGGTAGGGGTCGACTTTTTAGTTTTATTTTTTGATTAATTTATTTATTTTTAACTTTTTTAAGACTATATTTTAAGTTTAACATTAAAACTAGTCTTTGATGTGATATTTTGTTTGTTTTGTTTTTTAGAGTTTATTTTTTGGTTTAGTAGTGCTATCGGCTCCATTTTAAAAAAGGTCAACGCGTCGCAGAATAATACCTCCCGGGTGACGTGGAAATTTATTCGTATTTAGACAAAATTAACCTTTTGTAGCCTACCCTCCTGTACACCCACGAGCTCAACTGCCCTGTGAATGGGGATTTGGAATTTCGGAAAAAACATCTCTTTTTTTACACCCTGTAGTATCATGCTATGTGCACAATATCGTATTTCCAAAATTAGACATAAGAGTCAAAGAATCAACTATTGCTCATTTTTTGGACTGAAATGAAGAATAACGTGAATTTTCGAAAAATTTCCATATAATCGTAGTTAGCCAAGATATCCACAAAATCTCGAAAACGTCCCGAGGGATAACCTAACTGTTATTAGAAAAGGGTATTACGACTATCAAGCTCAACTGCCCTGTGAATGGAGATTTGAAATTTTGGAAAAAACACTTCCTTTTTTTTACACCCTGTAGTATAATGCTATGTGCACAATATCGTATTCTTAAAATTAGACGCAAGTCAAAGAATCCACAATTGCTCATTTTTTGGACTAAACTGGGAAATAAAGACAATTTTCGAAAAATTGGCATATAATCGTAGTAAGCCGCGATATTCACAAAATCTCGAAAACGTTCCGAGGGATTACCTTACTTATATTAGGAAGGGGTATTACGACTATCAAACTCAACTGCCGCATGAATGGGAATAACTTGAAATTTCGGAAAAAATACATCTCTTCGTTTAACACCCTGTAGTATAATGCTATGTGCAAAATATCGTATTCCCAAAATTAGACATAAGAGTCAAAGAATCAGCTATTCAGATTTTCAAAATCTATTCAGTAATTTTCTAATAACGAGCTTTCAAATATTTTCCAAAAAACTAGGTGCGTCGATTTTTATGACGAGCAGTTTATATGTTAAATGTAAAAAATTGACAGTTGTATTTATTGGAATTCCTGTTAGAATTTTTAACTTGGAAATCTACCGGCGTTAAAATCTCAAATATTTCTTGGTAAATCAAAATTTCTTGCCTTCAAAATAGACTTACAATCGATATAGAAGCTACTACGGCGAAATTAAAAGGTCAGTACAAACGTTCATATAATCTTTTCAAATATTCAAAAGAAACTTTTTAATATATTATAAGTACTTTTGTATTGAGATAATAAAATAATTTTTACATTTAGTATAATTTTACAAGAAAGGAACTTTATTTTAACGATTGTATGATATTTGACAACTAACTTCAGCCCGTGACTAAAAACCTGTTGCCAACTTCAGCCCGTGATTAAAGCGCCATAAAGCCACAACTTGTCAATGTCAAAAAACATATTATGTTCTAAGGTGCTTATATAATTTTATAAAAGACAATAAAAATAAATCAAATTTTATTATAACTAAACTAAATCGATTGTAAAAATATATAATTAAATAACTTATTCCTTCTTTTTTTCAATATTACTAACATACATCTTCACGGGTATGTGATTGGGGACAGAAACATTTCTGTCCCCGCAAAAATTACTGGCGTGGGACTGTTCCCTGGAAGGTCCCACAAAAGTGTGACACCTGTTAAGTCCGGTCACCGTAAATCTGGACTTCTCTTTAACCGGTTTAAGTTGCCTCCTCCAACTTTGAAAGTTCTGCAAGTCATTCTCGGATTTGCAGGAGTGTAGGGTATTCTTAATGGGGGATTTTTTCGAACACCCGCACGGTTCTATCTCTTTGTTTTTTACTTGTGTATTTTTCTCCTTAACTGTTTCTTTTTGTATGTAGATAACAGTCGATTTTCCCGCTTGTACGGATTTCCTGCTGTGATTAATGGTTATTAAGGGTGTTTGGTTACTTTTTACGAAGCAAATGTCGTCATTTTCAAACGTACAGGATTGGTTACTAATTTTTTTCACGGGGAGAATTTGGTCAAGTTCAGGAATCTAGGGATTATTTTTAAAGGTTTTTAAAGAAATCCATAAATAATTACCTGTTGTTTCAACTGCTTAATCTCTTTTCTTAGTTCCTTGATGATGTCATCTTTGAAGGCGACCTGTTTGTCGGCCTGTAGACATCTTTCTTCCAATTGGTAACAGTCTCTTTTTAGGGCCAAAATGACGTCGTGTTTTGAGGCTACTTCTTCGGCTAAGGCGTGCCTCATGTCTTCAGTTTGCTAAAATCACAAAAAATTAGATTAATTCTACCATTTTTTTAATTCGGTTACCTCTATTTGGTACCTTACCATTTTATTTATATTTTTTAACGGTTTGAGATCATAGAATAAAACATTCACTTACCCTTCTGTAGCATTCATATTCTGTTCTTATTTGGGTTAGTTCGCTATAAATGGTTTCAACGTTTCCCAAGGAACTATAATGTTTGATTTTTTGTTCCAACTCGACGACAATCCTAAAGATAAACTTGTATAAATTTAATATACCTACACTGTATAATATAAATATTATATCTCAGATTTTAATCGGGAAAATTTAGGAGTGGTAAAATTATTAAAAATTTAGGTACGCTTCTGCTTTTTTTATATTATTATGAAATTAAGAATTTAAAAATACAACTTTTTTGTCTCAAGCATTTTTTCTTTATAAAAATAAAAAATTAAAAAAGTTAAGCAAGAGACAAAAAAGTTGTATTTTTAATTGCTTAATTTAATTATCAAACCCATAAAAGGCAGTGGCGTGACCAAATGGTACATATGGGTCATTATACTATTAAGTATCTTTGCCATTTGTCACTTGTCCCTAACATTTTTTATTAAAAAAATAATAAATTAAGACAGCTAATATAGAACTAGATTCATAAATAAGAACTTAAAATATTAAAAATTAATAGAAAATTTTTCAATAAAAAATTAATTAATTAAGGTTGAAAGTTAGCATCACACTCTATAAACCCATGTCCCCATCACATTGCAATAGTGAAATCTTGGATATATTTGTATCCTTCGTCACATGTTTCTTTTGTCACACTGCACTGCTATCGCTGGGATTTTAAAACTTAAAAAATAAAAGACTCTTTAAGCGAGGTAGATGGGGCTAAAAACTAGTATACTAGTATACTAGTATACTTTTATACGTATAATGAGTCTTTTATTTTTTAAGTTTTAAAATCCTAGCGATAGCAGTGCAGTGTATACATATAAGTATATTTCCCTTTTTATTAACACCCTGTATCTCGAAAACAAAGCTTTAAAGCATACAAGTTCATATAAATTGTTCTTATTTTTACGAGTTTTATTGACTTCTAAATTTTTCATATTAAAATCTGAGACAACCTGTATTTTATATAAATTTGATAAAACTCGCAAAAATAAAAAGAACAATTTAGTAATTTCTACCATTATTATTATTATTATTTGAGTTAAAAATTCGGTTAAATTAACAAATTGGTGGCATTTTTTTTCTTATTTAAATGGTAAAAACATAAAAACAATTGAACGTCGGATCTCCAAAATATTTACAAAAATAACATTTAGGGGAGCGGCAGGTATTGGCGTACATGCGGGCAGTGGCGGCTGGTGGATTTTGGGCACACCCATATCTCAGTTATTAGACGTGGGACCCACATCAAATTTATATGAGTTTATAATGACATTATATAGACAAGTTCTGCGCAAGCAGAATTTAAATTAAAGTTTACGAAAAAAAGTTAGTTTTTAAGTGCAACCCCCAGCCTCCTGCCCCTCCAAATTAAGATAATTCAAATTAAAGTGGTACAATATTTAATTCACTGAAGTTTATCGACAAATTTCAAATTTTATTAAAAAAATTTAAGAATTACAGGTTTTATACCATTTATAATTTTTATTATTTTTTTTACTAAATTTAAAAAAATTATAAATGGTATAAAACCTGTAATTCTTGAATTTTTTTAATAAAATTTAAAATTTGTCGATAAACTTCAGTCAATTAAATATTGTACCACTTTAATTTGAATTATCTTAATTTGGAGGGGCTGGAGGCTGGGGGTTGCACTTAAAAACTAACTTTTTTTTCGCAAACTTTAATTTAAATTCTGCTTGCGCAGAACTTATCTATATAATGTCATTATAAACTCATATAAATTTGATGTGGGTCCCATGTCTAATAACTGAGATATGGGTGTGCCAAAATTCACCAGCCGCCACTGCATGCGGGTAATCCCGTTAATGACAAATTTTCGATTACGCCATCTATTTTGGAAAAGTTAAAGCATAAAACGATGACTACTTAGATATCTGGTAGACCGCTGCAAGAATTAAAAATCTACCTTATCAACAAAAACTTCCACACCAAAACAAAGTTTCTTGCATGGCGTCTTATAAGACCGCTGTGACTTTTTGATTACAACGAACAGTGATTGAATTGGTTTTTTAAAACAGTGCTTCCAGTATACGAACAATTAGTGTTTATTGTTGATTTAAGTCTGAAAGGTAAGTTGAAATATTGCAAATAACATCGTAGTAAATTTTTTTAACCTACATAGTAGATTCGGGTATTCCCGTACGCCATTATGATAGTCCTAAAGACTATTTTTGCGACTACTGTCCAGGTTTGCAGCACTGAATAGTTACTATAGAGCACATTTTTTATTTTGTTTTAATTTGTTGTTTGCTATTATTTATGTTTGTATACCAAATAAATTGAATTTGTTACCTTTTTATATCTAGTTTATGCATGTACCTACGGTAATACCCGCAATGGAGGGTAATGCCGAACATGAACTGTTTTTTGAAATATACATTTTTGCTTTTCTGGCTTAATATCAATGTATTTGTTTTCACCGGATATCACTACAGTGAACCTTAGGCTATGCCCACAACAAGTTTTGAAGCTATATCTTTCCGCTTTTCTGGCTTAATATCAATGTATTTGTTTTCACCGGATATCACTACAGTGAACCTTAGGCTATGCCCACAACAAGTTTTGAAGCTATATCTTTCCAGGTGTATCTGGAATTAATTTTATTGCTTAGGTGTACGTCAATACCCGCCGTTCCCCTATAACATTTTTTAAAAAGAACACTGTATATTTTACATATTTTAAAAGACAATTTAATTTGGAACATAAATTATAATTGCTTTACCATAAACTTACAAATAAACTATTAAAAACACTTGAACTTTCCAATTGTTGTTAATGTAAGTATTAATTTGGTTACAGCTGTACAGCTGTACCCTAGGGTGTTCCATTTAAAAAAATGTTATTTTGAGAATATTTTGGAAGCCCGACGTCCAATTGGACAATTAATTGTTATTTTATTTTTACAATTTTAATCGAAAGAAGAAATACCACAAATTTGATCATTTAACCGAATGGTAAGCAGATAACTTTGAACACCCTGTATAATGTAACCGGATCGGGTTACAATAGGAAACATTTTTTTTACAATGCGTTTTACGAAAAAAAGTTCATCATAAAAACGTATGTTTAAAAAATGAGATTTCCATGAAAAAACTGAATTAATCAGTTTTTTAATTAAATGTACAGGGTGTTCAAAAATTAAAAAAACATGAAAATGCTTCCAAAGAGAAGTGCCTTTATTTATTATTTTATAAGAGAAAGTCGACAACAGTTTAAATTAAATTCTAAACACGAATTAAAAATTTGCATAAAATTAAATACCTGAAAAAGGACAACTATTATAAATATTCCCCAACTCCAAAACAAAACACAAAGTGCTTAAAGTACTTTTCGCCAACGTTTGCCAATGCAAATGCCAATGTTTAAATTTAAAAAAAGGTAGGTAACTATATACATATAATATATAAATTTGAATTGACAACGACTTTTACATAGAAGCATTTTCATGTTTTCTCAAGTGCTGAGCACCCTGTACATTCAATTTTCTTTGATGAAAATTTTATTTTTCTAACAAGCAGGGGCTTTTAGGAAGAAATATTTTTTATCGCAAAATTACCGATAAAAAATATTTCTTCCAAAAGCACCTGCTTGTTGGAAAAATAAAAAGTTAGAAAAATAAAAAAACATGTTAACGCATGGGTAATAACATGTTTTTCCTATTGGCAACCCGATCCGGGAACACTCAGTATATTCACAGGTCTACAAAATTTAACCAACATCTCAAGTATAAACTTCAATATTAAACTTTTGGGATAAAATTCCTCAAAAACCTGTTAACATTTTTTACCAACCTCTCTTTTTTTTCCAATTCCTTATTTTTCTCATCCAATTCGCAACATGTTTTTTCCAGCTGTTCTTCTGCCTAAAAAGGTTTTTAAAATTATTTAATATGGCAAAATAAACCCACATACGTTCATTTTAATATCAAAAATATACAACAATCAACCAGGCAAGCCCGTAACAGTATAATTAGAAGCAATTATTTCGTAAAAAAGATAAACAAGCGTTAGTAATTTTATGAAACATGTATTTGTTTTAAATGTACAATGCAGTATGATTTCCAGCTAACAACATGATTCTTCATCTGTTACCTCCTTTCTTTTTAAAGATGAACTGCGCCTCCTTAAAAAAATAAAAGTAATAAAAATCCAAGATTTTTATCAAAAATTAGTACCCTGTGCTGTGTCTTCTTTTGGACTCGGATCTAGATCGCGATCTTGCGCGCGTTTTATCTTTGAAGAGGTCGCATTTGTTTATGGTGAAAAACTTTAAGCCATCTAAACTCCAGTCATTTTTACATCTTCCTCTTCTAAGCAGCTCTAATAAATTCTTTTGATCGTTTTCCAGCTCAAAAATTCTCTGCAACGGCTCAGATAATAAATCGCTCGCCACATCGTGCTCCCGATATTTTTTCATCACCTGCAGAAAAATCTTTGAGTCACAGTGTTTTGGGGATATATATTGGGGACTTACTGGATTAAGGAACTGTGAGGAAGGGATTTCACTGAAGGCAAGAAATATTTTTTACGAGTAGGAACAGACCGGCGCATTTTAATGTAATAATCATTATTACTATTATATTACAGTTTTTTATTAGTTTACCTCACAAATACATTTGGCACTTTGTTGCAGTTTTTCCTCCAAAGCCAATACCCTTTCGGATGCCTCATATTCTAATTCCTGTACTGCTTTAACAAGCATTTCATTTTGCTCGTACAAATCGTCTATCCATTCCTTTTGCAGTTTCAGTTTGTCCTAAAATAGCACGAATGAGAATTAATTTGAAAATAAAATATGTTAATTTTAAAATTCGCGCCTTGTGGAGGTCATTAATTTATGCCGGTAATGTAGACCGCGTGTCAGTTACCGATGCACTTGACGTAAACGTCAAAACACCACCACGCCCTCGGCAACTATTGTATTTATAAACACGCACTTCCTACCTGCAAAAAATCGGGTCCCTTGTCCTTCTCTATCATCCGCAACTTTTCCTCGTAGCATCTCTTGAATTCCTTCGTTATTTCCAACGTGTCGGTTTCGCCGCAAAGTTCCCCATTTTTAGACACCACGCATCCTTCTGGTCGAAAGTTTTTTATTTTGCATTCCGGGCCGATCGTGCACATCTTCGTTATTACAACAAAAACACGTTCATAACATAAATTTTCTTGATTATTAAAATACTAGTTGTAAAGTTGTATATTGAACGTCATATTTTTGACGTTCTTGTTTCAGTAAATAGCCTTCTATATTTTCCCCACTTTACACAAAACTCGGCCAAGTTTATTTTATTTACTCTCCAAAAATAAACCCTTCCCCAAATGCATTAAACGATTCAAGTTAAATCATTCAACGCGCTGCGTTTTTATTATTAGAATTTTGTCTATTTGAATTGTTAAGCAAACAATGCTTTTGTGGTACCTATGTAGGTACTGATAATGTAATTGGAATAAGTAGGTATGTAGGTACATAAAAATGCTTTGTCAAGGTAGATTAATTTTTTGGGTAGTACCTACTAATTTAAAAGTCCTCTAGAGCAATGCAAGAAAATAACCATTGAGTAAAGAAGTGGGGAAGAGGCGTGGTCTAATGTATTTAAAATAACTCCAAAATCGATCCTCGTTGTTAGAGGCGCCACCGTCGATTTTATCTTGAGATTTAAATTCTAAATTAGAGTGAGACCGTTAGAGTGAGACAGTAAGAAACGCGTCGTCATCAGCATCCCCACTTTCTATGCAATGCGCGGCGGCCGCGCCGGTCGCATGCATCGTGAAGGTCGACTAGATTAAATTTTATTCAGTTTGCACAAAGCAATTGCTGAAGTAGGTTGTTGTACTTAATTCGTTAGCGAAAATGAATAATTTACCTACAAATAGGGTTGGGATTTTGACCGGTCAAAATCTTTTGTGGTCAATTGACTAGTCAATTGACCGGTCAATTGACTAAGCACCGGTCAAATTCCTTAGTTTTTTCTAAAGAAATGAAGGCATGAGTAAAATTACTTAATTTTAAATAGAAACGTATATTTATTGAAAAACAGCTAACAAAAAATAAAGAAACCATTCTGAGGTACAAAAAAAACATTTATAGTATGAATATTATATATGTTTTTAAGAACATTCACGTCTAGCTCGCAGCAGAGAACGGTGCTAGCATGTGTAGATAACCGCACATCATCCTCTTTACTCTCTTAAAACTAATTAGTCAAAAATGACCCAGAACACTATTTAAAAAGCATTATTATGATTGCACCATGGCCATGCATGGTCCACTACCGAACATTTTTTTAATACTTTTGATATTTTCTGCTAGGTAGCGCCGCCGCGGCGCGCAGTTGAATTAAAAGGTTTTGACCGATTTTGACATGGTCAAAATCTCTCCTGTCAAAATAGGTCAAAATCTCGGTCAATTGACCGCGGTCAATTGACCAGGCACAACCCTACCTACAAATACTTGTTTATATAACAAATGTTTTTTAAAAAAAGGCAAAACCAGCTTTGTATTGTTCCAATTTCCAATAAAAGACACCGAACGGTGTGAAATTTGGAAGAAAAATTCCGAAAATCAACTTTTATTGGATTTAGATTATAATGATCTAAGATTTAAATGTATTTGTGAAAAACATTTTTTGCCGAAGGACATTCTTACAAGCCTTTTTTAATAATTAATTCTTTAAACGCATTAAACAATTAATTTTATATTCTTTATGTAAATAAATCATTACAGGTGCGTGAAAATATATTTATTAATTTTTAAGTGAAAATAAAGATAAAACTACAAAAAAAACAATATAATTTGATTTGTTTTGTTTATCTTAAAATGACATTGTTATTTTCAAAAATCTTGCAATAGGCATTCACTTAACGGTATTTGCTTAATGTTTTTGATGTTTATATTTCAAACTATTCAAATGTGTTGCTTAATATTTTGTTTTTGAAGATTTAATTTAAAAAAATGCTACATACTAATCGGCAACCAAATTTTGTTTTAGTTTTGAAATAGACACACCCGTGCGCACGGGGGGTTTGGGGGTTTAAAATTTAAACCCCCGGGGTTTTAAAAGAATATTAATAATTTTTTAAAATTATTTTGAACAAAATTCCTCTTCCGGTTTTAACAGAAGCGATTGTTTATTAATTTAAAAAGGGGGTTTAAAATTTAAACCCCCGGGGTTTTAAAAGAATATTAATAATTTTTTAAAATTATTTTGAACAAAATTCCTCTTCCGGTTTTAACAGAAGCGATTGTTTATTAATTTAAAAAGTAATATTTAAAAATTTGAAATATTTAATACATAATAGGAATTGTACAATATCTTTGTTATTATTAACTTTAGGTATGGTATAGGAAATGGTTATATCAATGAAAAGGTACAGGACGTTGCATTAAAAATAAAAAAGTTATTGCTAAATGGTAGTCATAGAATTTGAAAATAAGGCACTTACGTGTTGTTAATTAAATGGTCATTATGTTGTTGAAAATGACAAAAATTTGAAAACTCTGGGGTATATTACAATTTTGGAGCTGCTTGAGAAATATTAAAAAATAATTTAATTTTTGTAAAGAATAATATATATATATATATATATATATACAGGGTGTTTCATAATATATGCGCAGGACTTCAGGATGTGATAGCTCAACAAAAAAGATGAAAAAAGTCGCTATTAACTTACCCTCTAAAATGCACAATTTTCGAGATACAGGGTGTTGAAATTTTAGAAAAAAAATCGTTTTTTTCGATTATCTCTGGAACCGTTTATCGTACAAAAAACAGCTTTTGTAAGCATTTTCTACTCATAATAAGCTATGTTTTGTGCCAGAAAAAAATTTTTTTTCCTCATAATTGGTGGAGATTTTGAAGGGGTAGCGGGTGTTTTTCTCCTCAACTTCTACGCCCCTGAAAAAAGTACGGTTTCGAGAGGCCCATTCGAACCGCCAATGTTTTCTACACAAAAAAGGTACTTTTGATCATAAGCTCTAAAGTTGGCCGTTTTCGAGAAAAATCAACTTTTATGTTTAAAAACATGGTCAATTTTTTGAAAAAAAAATTTTATTACTAATTAAACAAAATTTCTTTTAACGTTAGAAAAAGTAACAAAACCAAACGATAATTGCAAAATTATAAAAAATAATAAAAAATGATTTTTTACACAAATGCTGAAATGTGCGAAATGCGTTACCTTTACGGTTTGGAGAATTTAGCAAAGACAACTTTTGAATCATTTTTTATTTTGCAATTATGGTTTGGTTTTGTTACTTGTTCTAATGTTAAAATAAATTTTGTTTAATTAGTGAAAAAAAAATTATTATTTTTTTAATTGACCATGTTTTTAAACATAAAAGTTGATTTTTCTCGAAAACGGTCAAGTTCAGAGCTTATGACCAAGAGTACCTTTTTTGTGTATAAAACATTGGCGGTTCGAATGGGCCTCTCAAAACCGTTATTTGTTCAGGGGCGTAGAAGTTAAGGAGAAAAACACCCGCTACCCCTTCAAAATCTCCACCAATTATGAGGAAAAAAAATTTTTTTCTTGCACAAAACATAGCTTATTTTGAGTAGAAAATGCTAACAAAAGCTGTTTTTTGTACGATAAACGGTTCCGGAGATATTCGAAAAAAAACGATTTTTTTTCTAAAATTTCAACACCCTGTATCTCGAAAATTGTGCATTTTATAGCGTAAGTTAATAGCGACTTTTTTCATCTTTTTGGATGAGCTATCACATCCTGAAGTCCTGCGCATATATTATGAAACACCCTGTATATATATGTATATATACATATATATATATATATATGAGAAAAAAAAATCGGCAAAATGTTAGTGTTTTTAAAATTTGTCTTTTAATTTAATACTTTTAAATAGTTAGTTAATTTTTAAGTAGAAAAATTTAAATTTATTTATTATTTAATATATTCCAAAAAAACTACCTTTTTTTTAAATAAAATTTGCATAAAAAAGTATAAGATTTCTTGAAATTCATCATTGGATATTTTGCCAACAAAAATTAGGGATTTGTTTAATCTTATTTTATTTACAAACAATTCTAAAAAAATCGATTAGTTTAGAAAAATCATAATTATCTAACGTAATAAGGGCCGTTCATAAATGATGTCACACACTTAGGGAGGAGGAAGGGGTCGTCGTATACAGGGGAACCCAACAAAGTATCCAACAACACTTTGACAGATGTCAAGTGAACAGGTGACATATGTCAAGTGACAGATGTCAAGTTAACAGATGACATATGGTAGGTGATATATGACAGGTGGCAGATGACAAATGACAGGTGACAGATGATAAATGGCAGGTGAGAGATTACAGGTGACAGATGCATGGTGCTGTTCTGAGAGGTGATTTTTTGACTTTCTGTGAAACCTAATTTTTTTTATATTCTTGTTAATTAGGTCATAACATAAATTTTAAGAGCAAAATAAAAAAAATTTGACGGTTAATTTTGTTTTAATTGTATGTTTATTAAAAATATGTAGGTATGCACACTTTCAATTCTCCAATTAAAACTTGCGATTTTATTTAAATATTACCATAACTTTTTAAATCAGATTAAAGATTAGGCCCGATAAACTTTACTAAAGATGAATAAACCGGTCCTTAGTTAAATTTCATGAATTTCTTTGTAACTTTTACTACAATTTTTCATTTTTGTTTATAAAAAACACTTTAAAAAACTAAACAAAAATTATAGAATACGTATACTGAAAATGACAATTCAAACGTCAAATAAATTTTTAATAGATCTAAGTTTCATGGCAACCTTTAAGGATATATTAATTAAGGGAACATAAATGTATACGTCAAAGGTTATATTAAAAATTGAACGTTTATTGCAACAAAACAGTAAAATATATAAAAAAAATTGTAAAACCCGTTTTTTTTAGTTATGCAATTATTAAATATTTAAATTAAATCGCTAGTTTTAATTGGATAATTGTAAGAGTGCATAATATTTTAAAAATATCAAAAAAACGTGTGACATCATTTATGGACGGCCCCTAAGATACTCAATGATTTAATATTAAAAAATAATAATACGTGTAAAATTTTTACCTGTCAAACAAAAAATATACCACAGACAAATTTAAATTTTTTAAAATTTGCATATCTACTCTTGACTATAACTTGATAACATGATTGGTTTTAATTTTTTTTTAATTTAATATTTTTTAAATTTGCAGATACTGAAGAAAATTTTAGTGTCTTAAGGGAAACAAATGTAAAAACCTATGAGATTAACAGGCAAAATATTGAGAATGAAAATTTTGTAGATAATTTAGATAGCCCAGAAAGACCAAACTCTGTACCTAGTGACCGATATTTAAATATGCCATCACCAGAAAAAACTTGTTTGAGAAAAAATAACAAAGAAATGTCCTGTAAAATAATAAAATTACGGAAAAAAATTAAATGCAAATTACAACAAGTTAAAAGATTAAAAAAGAAAAATAAAAACAGCCATTTTTCAATCAAAGAAATTTTAAATAATTTATTGAGCAATAAGAGTCATTTTTTAAAAACTTTTATTTTAATGCAGCTTTTTCATAATTAATGCATTTACATTACATTTGTACAAAACATGATAATTTTTTAAAGAAAGAATTACAAGTAAACATTTCCATTTCTTTGCCAATAAAAATTAAAATAGTTTCAGTTACACTCACATTAATAATATCTTGGGCAGCCTGTAAAAATGATTTATGTTTTTAATAATTCAATATTTTATTAACATTAATATTACCTTTCCTGGCTCAGTTTGCTCCGGTTTCTGTTA